CCTTCTGAATAACACAACAAGCTCAGTTATCCTTTAGAAGTTCAGCAAATCCCTATAGTAGTGAAGTTATTGTTTGTACCACAGCTGTATCCAGTATTAAAACTCTCCTTTTTCATGTTTGTGTTCTGAGTGTGTGAACTGTGATGACTGCAACAATGTTAAAGTCACTGCAGTCAGAATAACAAGTATCTGTTAAAACTGTGCTTTCTACAAGTGAGTTCATCTGACTTAAGAGGGTCGAGTGTGTCACCCACGTTTTTCTTTCCACAGCCTTCTGATGTGCTGCCAGGAGAAGTTGTCTTCTACCCTAACCCTGGGCAAGATAAAACTACAGGGTTAACTGGTTGTTCATACCTGCACTACTTCCATGACTTTTTTTGTTTGTTTATATATAACCCAAAACCGTATTGACAGCAAATGCATTATTTTTCAGTACTTATATGAATGTGTATTTGCAAACTGGTAGTGCTGTGAAATTATGCAATTAAGGGGGTGATGGTGTTTTTTTTTTCTCCATTTATTTTGTGTGGGGATATTCTATGTGCTTTGTAAGCGATGGATAAACCAGTGGTTGGACAGTTCAGACAAGGCTGAAATACAAGTATTTCACTGACATACAGACAGTACTGTAATGAAATAGTTTACCTCATTAAAGAAATGTCATTAAAGCTGATTACAGTCACAATACAGTTGTCAAGTGTCTGATAACACATGACCCCAATGTTCCAGTGATTGGTTTATGTTGTGTAAATTGCCTTAGGAAATTAACTATAATTACACAGTGTTACAGTTTCCAAACCCCCATGTCCAGTCATGTGATATTACTTAAGGTCCTGTGTATTTCACTCTGGAACAACATGACATACAACCTGGGGCCTGGTTGTATAGTAAAAAAGGCAATGGTAGATAAATCATCATGTTTATGGAAATGGTTCATTATTTTTAACCTTAGTTGACTTTGATTGTATCTGACTGACATGGATTCATGTGAAAATACTTAAGTGTTAGTTTGCTAGGAGCAAACCACAAAGATGATATCTTACAGATCACCATCTTGTAAAAAGACTTTTTATTTGGGACGCAGTGTTATTATTAGTGTAGGTTCTGATAAACCAATAGGTCAGGTTCAGAACCTTCTGGCCAGTCACTCTTATAGTGGTATAAATGAGCTTAAAATCTGGAATCACTTGAATTTTTGTAAGTGTCTGAGTGAAGAAAGCAGCATTCATTTAGTTGTTCACTTAACTTATTTGTACTGTTACACTACATTTTCAAGTTTAAAATGAATGTGTGATGCTTGAAAGTTGAAGGTTAAATTCCCTGTTGTAGCTCGCTACTGATGCAGTCTGGGAACTGAGACTTAGACTTAAATTCATCTGATGTCATAGTAAGTCAGCTCTGGCTTGGTTGACATTTGAGTTGATTCCAGCCTTGCATTACTGTTTCCTCTTTATTTTGTTTTTTGTTACTTATGTTATGTAAGGCCATGTTTAATTTCTTTCCTTGTTTTCACACGATTAAACTGACATGAGTCAGGTTATAAACCTATGTTTTATTACCCCCTGCCCCCCCGTACAGATTTTTGTTTTGGTAAATGCAAAAAATGTCAATAAATCTGAGGAAAATACCATGAATGGGACAGTTTCTTTCTCACATTTTATCTGCCATATTTCATATACAAATGACCATCAGTCTGATGACACTGTAATGCCATGTAAATGAGTGTAGAATAAAAACTAGTCATGAATATCAGCTGTATAACTCACTATTGTTTAAAAGTAGAAAACAAGGGCTTAAAGATTACAGATGCAAAGCTGCTAACCTGAAGCATGAAGCTTAAGCCATGTCAGTCCTCACCAGTTAAAATAATATAAAATGTTCTCTATCGACTTCTCTACATTATGGAAGGCTGCTGCTGTCTTTTTATGATTTAAACATCTCTTTCATGGGAATTGAGTTTTAAAATTGCCAAGTGTATTTTAAACAAGTGGTGCATTTTTTTTTCTTGAAAGAAAATCTTACATGATTAGGTAGAAAGCTGGGACTTGTGATGGGGGAAACGTTTTTCTGAAGTCCTATGAAGCCATTGTTTTCAAAAAGGTTCACTGTAACATTCGCTACAGTCAAGAGTGGTGCCATCTGCTGGCCATTCTTGGCATTGCACATGTATTGATGGATTAAATCTGTATCCCTGATGCATGTGCATGTGCTGTACATGTAACCAGACTTATCCCTGTCTCTGAAGCATTGTTAACTCACTGGTGGATGTGAAAGGAAGTTTAGAAAGTCGGCAGCAGATGAGAAAATCAGTTTGTTACTGGTGTCATTTCAAAAATCACTGAGAAGTGTCATAAAATAGATATTGACTTGTGATGACAAGTCAGGCATATATGCATTCTTTTATATACAGTTGTTAGTATACATACAAAAAACTGGTACAACATGCTGCAAATATCAGAATTCAGGTTACGTGTTGATGGTGTTGCTGCTTATTTCCTTAAAGGTGCCATGTATAATACTTTAACTTCAATAAATAATACCTACCTTGATTCATTAGAAGATTTTAGAGGAGAGCTCAGGAGTCTATGGTAAAAACACTGACTTGTATGATGCACAGCTTATCCTAATTTTATGGCCATTTTTGATGTGTGTCACAACTTTCACAAAAAATATACAATACATGTTAAAATAAACAAGATTGAATTTATGAATGTATTTTAAATTATTTTAGAAAAATAATTACATTGCAGTTTCATTCAAGTATGCCCTAGAGGCTGCAGGTACTCCAACTCTTGGGTTACCTGCTACCATTTCTGTATTTTAGGGGGAAAACTATTTGTCATGTAATTTTTTTGTGTGTTTTTTGTTCTATTTATTTCCTATGAATTGATATTTTTCCCATCTCTCTCTTTTGTTGTTTCTTCTTCTTCTTTTTAATCTCTCTTCCTCACATTTCTTTCTCCCTCTTTCCATCTCTGTCTCTGCCTTCAGATACCTCCTCACCAAGAGAAGAGAATGTGAAGATGGTAATGGTACCAGTCCCAGTACCAGTCTTCATTCCAGTGCCTATGAACATGTACTCCCAGCACACACCTGTTCCAATGGCTATGCCAATACCTGTACGTCCCATTGCGTTACATTCATATTTTGCTGAAGCTGGATTGATTAAAAGTCTTGTACTGCGAGTGTACAGCAGTAGATGAGACTCTTTTTCTCCGATTTTTTCTAGGTTCCCATACCCATGGTAGTACCACCACAGATCAAGGACATGAAAGATGCAGCGATCCAATCAGAGCCTTTCACTGCGAAGGAAGAAAACCTGAAACATCCCTCTGTTTCCCAAGCTGGTGAGGACTTAGAAAAACTTTTGCTCCGATATTCTGTAAACCTTTGATACCTTGCTGCATTAACCAAAGCCAGAGGAAACCTGGTGAGAACATAATGACAAACATTTCATCTCAACTGTGGCTTTGTGTGTGTGTCTGAGTGTCTGCTACAGACCAGGACAGTTCTTTCAGTGGAGACATGAAGCCAGAGGTGGTCATTCCCATAATCTGTGAAGACGAAGTGACTCAAAAAGCCGTACAAGCCGACCTGCCTTTTACTGGAAGTACAGAGCAGAGCACAGATCATCCCCAGCTTAATACCCAGCCAGAGGGGAACGCGACAAGCGACCTGCCTGCCGCTAGTGCTGAGCATCAACCTCCCTCCTCTCCAGTGATGGACTTGGAGACTGATTTCCCAGCTGGTGAGATGTTATACAGTATCCTCAGAATCTCAATCAGCTTTATTGGCCAAGTATGTTCAAACACACAAGGAGTTTCGCTCTGGTACAGAGGCTCTCAATGTGCTTATGTAAGGCAACAAGAAAAATAAAATATATAGGAAGTAGGTGCAATCAAATAAGAAAGAGAGCAGGGAAAAAAGAAACTATTTAGAAATGTATATACAAATATGTGCATTGTGGTAGAAGTGCTTACAGACTGATATATACAATGGTTATATTTGCAGTTTATTGCACTGGGGTGATTGCTCTGTCCTGGATTAACTGTTCATGGGATGACTGTCAACGTGATAAGTAACACCAAATCTGTTGAATGAGAGTCATTTTTAGATTGACACCACCCAAAAATGTTCTTAGCTTTTAGAAGGATAAACACAGATTTGAGATGGAAAACACACCATCTCTCACCACAGGTCTTTTGCTGTGTGTTTCTACAGAATCGACGTGTCAGAAGTTGTGTGCTCCCCGGCGAGGTGTTAAAAGACCCAGAGAGGGTTTCTCCAGCCGGAAACGGGTATGACATCCTTGATAGATCACAAGTCTTTGGGTAAACTCATGTTAATTTTAGCAGCATTTGATTTAAACTCTTTTAGTGCCCTGACATTAGTTTGTTGGTACGTTTTCCTGGTGGGTGCTGTGTGTGGGAGTTACTGTTCCAGAAACCTCTTTAGCAAAGACAACCTACCTGTGCTCACATGTTAGGACCGTCTTGAAACTTTCAAGATATTTCCTTGTGTTTATATAATTAAAAGTTGATAAATATACCCAGTATAAATATTTCTGCTCATAGTCAGCTTTTGAGTCATTCCAACCATTCTCTACCTAGTATTCACTGCATTTCTGCTCATCTAGGGACGTAGGCAGACTGGTTCACTGGACCGCACTGCAGTGGTGGCTCCAGCTCCCTCCAAACTGAACCACCTGTATGGGGTTAAAGCCTGGAGGAGCTGGGTCCAGCAGCGCAACGAAAAACCACAAGAATGTGAGCCTGAGTCCTCTTTACTCTTCTCACTTCATTTTATGGTGGAGAAAAATTGTCCCCACACTTGAAGAATAAAATCATGAGACAATGCTACGTTTTTGACCAACATGGTCGTCGTAATTCATTTATTCTTCAAGTATTTTCATACACTATGTGCTTTTCTCTTTTTTATTCCTAGTTGTTGTTATTGTCCTGCATCTGTGCCCAATTTTGGTTGACACATTTTATTTTTGTGACTTTTTTGCCACTTCCTCCTTTGCATTATTAGACTCTGTTGTAATCTGTTTGATTCTATACTACTTGTATTTTACACTCTCTGCACCTACAGTGGACATTAAAGAGGACATCCTTCAGTGTGACTCAGCCGAGCTGAGCTTTGCTCTGTCTCGCTTCGTCAGAGAAGTGAGACGGCCAAACGGAGACACCTACAGCCCAGACAGCATCTTCTACCTCTGCCTGGGGATACAACAGGTCCACACACACACTTTGCTGTTTTAGTGTGTTTCTTGTTTTTTTTTATCCACTCACTGGCTCATTTTTTATGTGTACCTCTGTTTGGACAGTTTCTGTTCATGAAGGGCCGCATAGAGAACATCTTTACTGATGCACTGTACAGTCAGTTTGTCAACGAGATCACTGGGATGCTGCGACAGTGGAAACCTAAACAACTACCAAGTGGTACGATCTTCAAAATAAAGTTAGAATCCTTGAGATTTTCAAGAAAAGCTTTTTTCTGCAATAGCCAGTTAGTTTAAGTAATTATCTCTCTCTAAAGATGTTTTCATTGGTATGGTGGAGCCTACTATTCTCACACTGGATTCAGACTTTAAAGCTGCACTAATTAACACCTTTATATTAACACTGGGTCAAAGAACTACGTGTTATAATGATGAACCCACAGAGAAATATGGTCCAACTCTGCAGTTTCTCTCCGTTCTGCAGAGCCTTTCGGTACCTTTCTGCTCATTGTTTTGTTTTATGGCTCACAACTTGCAGTTTCAGTTCACTCTCACCAGTCTCATCAATTTTCCGTGGAAAAAAAAGCTGATAACACCAAATAGCAGACAGGGCAAGGTTAGCAACTAGCCAATACATTTACCAGCTAAACGGCCAGATCTTTATTCTCCTGCTTCCCTTTTCCTTCTCCAGGTGGCCTTGTTACTTCCCGTGTTGAGGAGTCCTTCTTGTGGGAGTGTAAGCAGTTGGGCGCCTACTCACCCATCGTGTTGCTCAACACGCTGCTCTTCTTTTGCACCAAGAATTTCTGCTTCACCACGCTGGCACAGCACAAAAGGCTCTCCTTTGCTAACTTCACTCGACGCTCCAAATCCTGCAGCCGAGCTGGCAAAGTCCAGTACCTCCATCACCAGAGAAACAGCACAGCCACACACAGCCGGGAAGAGACAGGTGGGTGTCATACAGCATGGATGTTATTTAAAATTTAAGTAGTGATAATAAAGTAACATTATCTGTGCAGCAGTGGGTTTAAGTAGTAGCTTAAACCATTTTCAAAGTGACCCTGTTTAATACAGAATATCGTGTATCAGTAACTTGAATGCAGCAATATTATTTAAAAAATTGAAGACTGATACTCAGCTTTCAGTTTTTTTCTATACTGTATCTGCTCCACACTATTTCTGAACATAAAATCAGAATCAGAATATAAAAATCTGATTTATAGATTTCTTCCCTGGCTGTGTTTGGCCAGACTGACTGACTGAGATCTGCTATGCACTTTTCCCAGAGCGAAGTAAAAGACGACGAGCAGAGAACGGTGGAGACCTAGAGATGCTAGAAAATGTCACAAACCCTCTACGCTGTCCTGTCAGGCTCTACGAGTTCTACCTCTCTAGATGGTGAGAGAACACGCGCACACACACACACACACACACACCCCAACAAACATTACAATGACAACAACAACAACAAAGGCAGCTGAACAAACATCATCTCTGTTTTCTGGCTCTCCAACAGCCCAGAGTCAGTGAAGAAGAGAACTGACGTGTTTTACCTCCAGCCTGAATGGAACGTCAACACACACAGGTCAGAGTCAGTCCTCTAACTGTAAAGAAACACAACCATTTCCAGGTTTTAATGGCTTAGCTTGGCTCTAGGTAAGATGGGTTAAAGCTGCTGTGTTCAACATTTTGGAAAATACACTTATTTGCATTATTTGGTGAGATTAATATTATCTGTTAAGTCTGAGACCAGCATCAGCAGCTGGTCATCTTAGCTTACCTTAAATAAACAGGGGGCTCTGTCAGAAGATAACTAAATCTGTCTGCTTGTGAAAATGATGGTTTTCCACTGTTCTTTTTAATTTCATGTTTCTGACTCCACTAGTTCCCACTGGTATACTTGTGAGCCGTTAGAGAGCTCCACCCTACAGAGCATGCTCACACGCATCTTGGCTGTCAGAGAGGTTCATCAGGGAGAGGACGCAGCCTCTGATGATAACCGCTTGCAGTGATATGAAGCTCTGCCTTTGTCTGCAACTGAAACTTTGTCTGATGCCAAACAGTTCACAGCTGAATTAAAACTGTACGTACCCACAGCGGTCATTTGAGACTGAAGCTGATGACTCTGTAAGACCCTGACTGCCAGAACTCACAGAAATATAAAACCAGGAGAGATCTTTGTAAGGAACTGGGACTGTGGGATAGTTGTGTCTATTTACCTCAGTGGTCACCCCCTCCTCACATGAGCACGCAGCTCAAGTTTGCAAACGTCTGATACGGTCAAATATGGATAAGGGTGTGTTCATTGCAGACCCACTCTTCTTTTCTCATCGGTGTCACAAACTGATATTTATGCCCATCATTTCTCATTTGGTAGGTTTGTTCATGCTAAACCTGTCAGATGTCCTTTTATCACAGACTGGTCATGATAACAGCCAGAGCTACCGTAGACAACGAGAGGACTGTTTTACAGTTGGTGCCCTCTTTGCATCAGCACATTACCGTAGACAACGAGAGGACTGTTTTATGGTTGGTGCCCTCTTTGCCTCAGCACACGTTTACTGCACATCGAGAGTTTTGACCATTGTGTAGAGTTTTTAGGGCTGATACTGGTATTGAAGTATTGGGGAAAAACCAAAAGCCTAAAAGAACATTCTGAGCAGATTTGGTCATTCAGCACTGCAGCATGTTCATGTATAACTGCAAAAAAACCTGGACAAAATGCCACTCACCTCAGAGTGAAGCGCTTCCCACAGGCATCCGCTGTAGTATTAATAAATGAAGGACTGAATGTGGAGTGGACAACACTGCATCACATTCATCACATTAGAGATGGATGATTCCAATTCAGTATCCAATGTTGTTAAACCAGTATCTATCAATGTAACCCTTCTTGGAATGATAGACACTCACAGTGCCTCTCATCCTCTGCTGTGTTGTTAACCAGTGATCTGTTATTATGTTGCTCCCCTTTTATAGTCTTCATCCCCTGTGGCCTTATTCCCTTCTCCTTTCTTCTTTCAATCTTTGTGTTCATGGGCGTTCACACTTTTTCCCAGCCATCCCTCCAAGCCACTTATTTCCTCTGGCACTAATGTATGGATTCTTGCATTTATGTTTTCCTTCATTCACTTTTATGTCTCTCTCTTCCTAACTCTGCCATTATTTTAACCTCTGGGACATTATAACCTCTTTTTTCATTTGCTTTTATGGCCTAATTTAAGGAAATTGAGTTTGGAGATTTGACAAAGCAGCAGACAACTCAAAGTACTAGCACAGTACTTTACCTAACCCCAAACCCATGAATATTTCTATATTATAAATAATAGTATGTACATTTTCTTGTATTACATGGTTTTCATTGGCCATGCATACAATATAAAAAGCATTATGATAATGTGCCTAATATTTCTCACTGTGTCAGCAGTGGTAAGGAGTTTTGTTTTTACTCTAACCTCAGAGTAGCCACTGGTGACTCGCTCTATAGATAAACCTGGTCCATAATGCTGCTGTGATACACCCTCAAAATATGAAGTTTAACCATGGCACATCACTTAACACAGATATTTACTTAGCCAGACATGTCTGGACATAGTGAACATTTATGCCCATACATTGTACAATTTCACTGAGTTTGATCAGAAAATTAAATATGGAAGACAATTTTTTTTTTTTGCTGTGTTGAGATTTCACAAATACAGTGCCTTGCGAAAGTATTCGGCCCCCTTGAACTTGTTCTTCATGATGCTCTCTGCGCTTTAAACGGACCTCTGAGACTATCACAGTGCAGGTGCATTTATACGGAGACTTGATTACACACAGGTGGATTCTATTTATCATCATTAGTCATTTAGGTCAACATTGGATCATTCAGAGATCCTCACTGAACTTCTGGAGAGAGTTTGCTGCACGGAAAGTAAAGGGGCTGAATAATTTTGCACGCCCAATTTTTCAGTGTTTTATTTGTTAAAAAAGTTTGAAATATCCAATAAATTTCGTTCCACTTCATGATTGTGTCCCACTTGTTGATTCTTCACAAAAAATTACAGTTTTATATCTTTATGTTTGAAGCCTGAAAAGTGGCAAAAGGTCGCAAAGTTCAAGGGGGCCGAATACTGTCGCAAGGCACTGTATGCACACAATCCAGGTCAATCAGTTCATTTTCATAGTACAGCTGGGGCTCTCACTGAAGTCATCATACAATAAAATACCTAAATATCACAACGTTAATGTTGGCTAGGTCTTTTCAACAGTAAGCCCAAAAGTAAATTTATAATAGTTGCTCAAAAAGTGAAAATTGCATTTGGCTGAGGGAGTACGACAGTAGTGAGATGTGCTGTAGGTCAGACAGAGGAGTTCAAGGTGGAGGTGGGGCTACATCAAGGATCGGCTTTGAGTCCCTTCTTGTTTGCTATAGTGATGGACAGGTTGACAGATGAGGTCAGACAGGAATCTCCGTGGACAATGATGTTTGCGGATGACATTGTGATCTGTAGTGAGAGAAGAGAGCAGGTGGAGGAACACCTGGAAAGGTGGAGGTCTGCTCTGGAAAGAAGAGGAATGAAAGTCAGTCGTGGTAAGACAGAATACATGTGTATGAACGAGAGGGAGGGAAGTGGAACAGTGAGGTTACAGGGGGCTGAGGTCAAAGTATTTGGGGTCAACAGTCCAGTGTGATGGGCAGTGTAGAAAAGAGGTTAAGAGGCGAGTGCAGGCAGGTTGGAGTGGGTGGAGAAAGGTGTCAGGAGTGTTGTGTGACAGAAGAGTGGCAGCAAGAATCAAAGGAAAGGTGTACAAGACAGTAGTGAGACCAGCTATGCTGTATGGGTTAGAGACTGTAGCAGTGAGGAAAAGACAAGAGGCAGAGATGGAGGTAGCAGAGATGAGGATGTTGAGGTTCTCTTTAGGAGGGACCAGGATGGACAGGATTAGGAATGAGCACATCAGAGGGACAGCTCAGGTCAGCTGTTTTGGGGACAAGGTCAGAGACGCCAGATTGAAATGGTTTGGACATGTGCAGAGGAGGGATAGTGGTTATATTGGTAGAAGGATGTTGGAGATGGAGCTGCCAGGCAAGAGGTCAAGAGGAAGGCCAAAGAGGAGATATATACAGTGCCTTGCGGAAGTATTCGGCCCCCTTGAACTTTGTGACCTTTTGCCACATTTCAGGCTTCAAACATAAAGATATAAAACTGTAATTTTTTGTGAAGAATCAACAAGTGGGACACAATCATGAAGTGGAATGAAATTTATTGGATATTTCAAACTTTTTTAACAAATAAAAAACTGAAAAATTGGGCGTGCAAAATTATTCAGCCCCCTTAAGTTAATACTTTGTAGCGCCACCTTTTGCTGCGATTACAGCTGTAAGTCGCTTGGGGTATGTCTATCAGTTTTGCACATCGAGAGACTGAAATTTTTGCCCATTCCTCCTTGCAAAACAGCTTGAGCTCAGTGAGGTTGGATGGAGAGCGTTTGTGAACAGCAGTTTTCAGTTCTTTCCACAGATTCTTGATTGGATTCAGGTCTGGACTTTGACTTGGCCATTCTAACACCTGGATATGTTTATTTGTGAACCATTCCATTGTAGATTTTGCTTTATGTTTTGGATCATTGTCTTGTTGGAAGACAAATCTCCGTCCCAGTCTCAGGTCTTTTGCAGACTCCATCAGGTTTCCTTCCAGAATGGTCCTGTATTTGGCTCCATCCATCTTCCCATCAATTTTAACCATCTTCCCTGTCCCTGCTGAAGAAAAGCAGGCCCAAACCATGATGCTGCCACCACCATGTTTGACAGTGGGGATGGTGTGTTCAGGGTGATGAGCTGTGTTGCTTTTACGCCAAACATAACGTTTTGCATTGTTGCCAAAAAGTTTGATTTTGGTTTCATCTGACCAGAGCACCTTCTTCCACATGTTTGGTGTGTCTCCCAGGTGGCTTGTGGCAAACTTTAAACGACACTTTTTATGGATATCTTTAAGAAATGGCTTTCTTCTTGCCACTCTTCCATAAAGGCCAGATTTGTGCAGTATACGACTGATTGTTGTCCTATGGACAGAGTCTCCCACCTCAGCTGTAGATCTCTGCAGTTCATCCAGAGTGATCATGGGCCTCTTGGCTGCATCTCTGATCAGTCTTCTCCTTGTATGCGCTGAAAGTTTAGAGGGACGGCCAGGTCTTGGTAGATTTGCAGTGGTCTGATACTCCTTCCATTTCAATATTATCGCTTGCACAGTGCTCCTTGGGATGTTTAAAGCTTGGGAAATCTTTTTGTATCCAAATCCGGCTTTAAACTTCTCCACAACAGTATCTCGGACCTGCCTGGTGTGTTCCTTGTTCTTCATGATGCTCTCTGCGCTTTAAATGGACCTCTGAGACTATCACAGTGCAGGTGCATTTATATGGAGACTTGATTCCACACAGGTGGATTCTATTTATCATCATTAGTCATTTAGGTCAACATTGGATCATTCAGAGATCCTCACTGAACTTCTGGAGAGAGTTTGCTGCACTGAATGTAAAGGGGCTGAATAATTTTGCATGCCCAATTTTTCAGTTTTTTATTTGTTAAAAAAGTTTGAAATATCCAATAAATTTCGTTCCACTTCATGATTGTGTCCCACTTGTTGTTGATTCTTCACAAAAAATTACAGTTTTATATCTTTATGTTTGAAGCCTGAAATGTGGCAAAAGGTCGCAAAGTTCAAGGGGGCCGAATACTTTCGCAAGGCACTGTATATGATCACACTTTCTTTTGTTTCGTGGTTAAAAAAAAAAGAAGAAAGCTTTCACTTCCCACAGAACAGGTGGGGAAGTCGAGGGGCTGGTACTTTTGTGATGTGCTCACTGATACTTGCATTTATTTTGTTGTTTAAGCTGTTTCTATTTTGTCATGGATATGCCTTTACTTTTGCCTCCTGTTCAATATAAAATCCATGTTGAGCATGACTAATCAAATCAACCTAGAATCTCTCCAGTGCTCCATGCTAACATTGAAGCATTCCCAGACTTGAATGAGGGTAAGTATTGAGCATTATCCAAACAATCGGTTTTGTTTCTTTAAGCAACATACTAAAACCAGCCACTGCTGCTGTTTCTAAAAGTAATATTACTGTCTGAATATCACTGCTGTCTGAAACTCCCATTCAATGGTTGTTCAGTAAAAAAAAAAAAAAAAAGGGCTGGTGTTTTACGGTCATGCACAACAGGCCATATTGCCATTAAGTATTAGGAACTGATCTTATTCTTTCCTTTCCTTGACTGCAAGGCCGAGTTTTTATAACAAAACCATGGTTTAAATGAGATGTGAGGCAGAGTGTAACTGAAGTTTGTGCAGTTTTCAAATATTGATTTGTAAAATGTGTAAAGTTTAATCTTTTGTGTTTCATCTGTTTTAAATTGGTTTACCTCTGTGAATGTAAAGCCATGAGTCATTGCTTCTCCGGTGGCTTCAGAGGAACTTCATTCTAGCTAAAGACTAAATAGATGACTGAGGAGCACCAGCGATGATACGTAACGTATCATCATGTGTAACGTGGTGTATAGAAACTTCAGTCCACTCATTCTGTACCCTTTAAGAAACAGCATAACTCTTCTCAAAGACAAAATACATGGCAGAACAAACACTCAACACAATATTGTTCTAACAGGTTTCAGTGAAATTGTGAGTGTAATAATGTTACATTTCTAAAACTGAACTTCTTAACTATGATGATAGATTTGTCACCTAAAAGCTAGATTTTATTCATTCTTGTTGCTGCTTCCTTAGAGAAAATCAAGAATTTAAAATGTCAGGTGTTAAATGTTAAAGCCCCATAAGATCACGATGAGTCTCTTTTTCCCATGTCACATACTGCACTTATTTAAATATACTCAGTTAATGAAGCAGATGTTAAATGTTAAAGCCCCATAAGATCACCATGAGTCTCTTTCAACTTTTTCCCATGTCACATACTGCAATTAATGCACTTATTTAAATATACTCAGTTAAGGAAACAGACAAAACTGCTTAAGTGAAAATATTAAAGATGTGTGGCTTAGCAATTTTTTTGATGACAAACTTTTTTGCCAGTAATAGGCAAAAAGCACACTTTATATAACAATCCTAGGTTGTTAGTTATTTTGAGCACGAAGCCAAGGCACAGTCAACTTTTCCTGAACAAACCTAAAGATCCCGTTTTAAAAAGCTGTCCTGACAAACAGCTCCCCCTTGTGGAGACTTCTGGTAATGACAGGAAAGTTCCCGAAGACTTGAGCTCCTCCAGTTGCACTATAAAAGCTAGGACAGTCCCACTGCTGAGACAGAAAGCAACACAGAAGAGAACGTACACTTGAGCTCGCAACAAGAAGAATCAACACTAAACACGCTGAAGATGCTGTGCTCACACAGATTCCAGTCTCCCTTAGTCTACCCAGGGACTTCTACTGGCTGGTATGAGATCAGAAGTCAGACCTATGCTCTACCAACAGGATCTGAAAAACCTACAGCAACTGTACAGCAGTCTGGAGCTGAAGCACACACGTCAACACACGCTCCTGGAGGAGACAGAGCCTTTCCACACTGCAGCTGCCCTGCAGCCAGTCTCCTATCAGCTGCTGAAAGAGGGACAGCACCCCAGAGGATCTGTCTGTCAGGCAGGTGGGCAAGAAGCTGAGAGTCAGTGGGAAAACAGAGAGGAAGCAGGAGGATGGGAAAGGCTCTTACTCTTACACGAGTTCAATCTTCCTAAAGGCCTGAACCCTAAAGCCGTGACCTGCTACCTGGACCAAGACGGGAAGCTCCACATCCAGGCAGCCAAAGCTCCATGTGTGGAGGAGGCTGAGAAAGAGCTGACTATCAGGAGGAGCTCGGAGGAGACAACACATCAGAGTGCGTGTTCACACAAAGAGGGGTGCAGCACAGGACAAACCTAAAAACATGGACTGATTGCAGTCTGGTTGTGACAGTGCTTTTAGGAAAGTGCTGAATTGATTATCGTATGTCAAGGTCAAAGTGTTTATTTGTCATATGCACAGTTAGGAAACGTGTTTCCCTGTACAATGAAATTCTTACTTTGCCGTCCACATGAATGCCACAAAATACAAATGAAATATAAAGTAGATAAATAAGTAACACTAAATCTAAGGCACCTTAAGCTGCTTTTGAGCTTTTGTATTTGAGTATTTCAATTAAAATATTTAAAGGTTTGACTTTGCTTTTGTGTTTTTCTTTTTTAATCATTTGTAATTTTGACCAGATATAGGCCATTTGATATTGCTGCAATATAAGCATACAAAATATCTAACTTCAGTAAACTGAATAGACATTTAATTTAATGGAACAGTTTGCTTGAATTCAGATGAACCTTTCTGCTCAACATCTTCAGTGTCCGTTAGTACTTATATTAAATGAAGCTACAGCCTCTCAGATGATCATAACACCTCTCAAAAACAGTCTGAACAAAAAGTGTCTTGCCCAAGGACACTTCGACATGTGGACTGCAGGCACCGAGATTCGAACCTTCATCCTTCCAGTTGGGAGACAGCTGCCCTACCCACCGCACCACTGTTGCCTCCCACATATGCAAACTGGGGCAGCACAGCAGTTAACGCTGTTGCCTCACAGCTAGGGGTTCGGGCCCTGGCCTGTCCTTGGAGTTTACATGCTCTCCTTATGCCAGGTACCGGATCCCTCCCACTGTCCAAAGACTTGCAGCTTAGGTTGCCCGTAGGAGTGTGAGTGTGTGTGGTTGTTTGTCTACGTCATCAGCCCTGTGATAGACCGGCGACCTGTCCTGGGTGTACAATATCAGCTGAGCGAGAGGCAGCCCCATGACCCTAACCAGGAATAAGCAGTATAGATAATGGATGGAAATGCAAACTACTAAATAGCACCATCTCATGCCACCCTGTCCAACCTTCTACCACCACATGTAAGATGTTCCAGATGCACCACTGTATTTCTCCCTACCCCAAGTTGCCATTCATACGTTTAGACATAATTTCATTGTCCTCCTCCTTCTGCAGCAATTAACAGGAGATTCTTCTTTTGTACAGTACATGGTATCTATTCCTGCCTTTGTAATATGTGGCTGCTTGTGAGATTTATGCACTTCGCTTTTATCATATTATGGAAAAGGCAGTTAATGCCAAGACAAAGCAGCTACACAAATGTCTACAAAATAAAAGTTTGATATGGTTGACAAATCTCTATTTCACCTTCTGAGGACATCTCACGACTCCAATCGCTTTCATAACAGTGGGTGGACCAGTGAATTCCACTGACTTCAATACAACTTGTTTCAGACATACTGTGGTATAGTGCACGCCCTGCACATTAATGCATCACAAGGCCATTAACACAGCTATTTTTAAAAAGTGCAACTTCAGAACGAGCAACAAATTCTCTCCTCTTTAAGTAACACAAACAAATGTGTTCTTAGCTGTGTATAGTCATAGTGGGGCTCAAAGAAAGTTCATCTGAAGACATGAGAAGAGGGGGGACAAGAATGTTGGGTGTTATCAGATGTGCTGTCTGCTCTGCCAGATAACTTCACCAACAGCCTTCTATTGCTCGCTTTGCATAGATATGATATGGACATCATCATCATCCTTATGCATATAAAGCATAGTTGTAATGATAAGAACAGGAGCCACACCTCAGGGGTTACTGGACACATTCACCTAGGTCATCTGACACTGAAGTTCACCCGTTAGTAATGGCAAAGCTAAACTCTTAGTCATATTTTTCAAACTGCCAAATAGCATTAAGTTGAAAGATGCAGTAATGATCACTGTGTAACACCAAATCACACATCTTTTATTAGAGTCCATCTAAACATGTCAGTAACAGAACAAGCAGACTTAGCAGTAACAGTGACCAGCTCCTGAAGCTATTTATAGCCTTCAGCTTTTGTTTGTGCATTTAAGTTCAGTTTTTTTAAATTCAATGAATTAAATAATTTCAATCAGCAAAAGTGACATTCCAGAAATTTTAACTGGTCGGTGTTACTGTCTTTGACTACAAATATATATTTTAAACCTGAAGCTTGGAAAAACATGAGAACACTTCACACCCTGACACCAGGCAGCAGGTGCCTGCTATGAATGGACAGCTGTAGGAGCCACCCTAGACAGCAGTTAACAGACCCAACAGCTCTTATACCCATTAAACAGAAGAAACAAGAGAAGGCTGAAACCATTCATATTCAACACAAACAAAGAAGGACACTGCCAATAGCAAAAAACAGTGTGAAAACATTATAGACTAGCTTTAACAACTGTGGACTGAGTAATCTCTTGCACTCTTACTAATTTTGGGCAATAAGTCAATGTTATTATTTAAAGACTTTTAACAGTTGTTTAGGATGAACAACCTGACAATGATTTGAACTGTACTACCCAGCCCTACCTACTGTATAGAAACAAAAAGGTTACGGTATGTCTAGGCCATGTCCTCTTCGCCCTCTTCCTCAAACTCTCCCTCCTCCTCAGCAGTGGCATCCTGGTACTGCTGGTACTCAGACACCAGGTCATTCATGTTGCTTTCGGCCTCCGTGAACTCCATCTCATCCATGCCCTCGCCCGTGTACCTGAAAAAAATGAACGTGAAGTCACTCAGGCATTACAGCATATAAATGTGCAGTACAACAGGCCAGCACAAGTAAACAGACCTCTCTCCATTGTCCTGACATCACTCTTTTACTCACCAGTGGAGGAAGGCCTTGCGGCGAAACATGGCGGTGAACTGCTCTGAGATGCGCTTGAACAGCTCTTGGATGGCTGTGCTATTGCCAATAAAGGTAGCGGCCATCTTGAGGCCACGGGGAGGAATGTCACAGACAGCTGTCTTGACATTGTTGGGGATCCACTCCACAAAGTAGCTGCTGTTCTTGTTCTGCACATTCAGCATCTGCTCATCCACCTCCTTCATGGACATGCGGCCTCGGAAGATGGCGGCGACTGTAAGGTAGCGTCCATGGCGTGGGTCGCAAGCTGCCATCATGTTCTTGGCATCAAACATCTGCTGGGTGAGTTCAGGGACTGTCAGTGCTCTAGGAAAGAGACAATTTGAGATTTATTTCAGATGCAACAAAATACAACTTGAGGGTGTGAAACTGTACAAGTCTCCGCCCACTCTACCTGTACTGCTGGCTGCCACGGCTGGTGAGGGGGGCAAAGCCTGGCATGAAGAAGTGCAGCCTGGGGAAGGGCACCATGTTGACTGCCAGTTTCCTCAAATCAGCATTGAGCTGGCCAGGGAAGCGCAGGCAGGTGGTGACCCCACTCATGGTGGCTGAGACGAGGTGGTTGAGGTCACCATAGGTGGGCGTGGTGAGTTTCAGTGTGCGGAAACAGATGTCATACAGGGCCTCATTATCAATGCAGTAGGTCTCATCTGTGTTCTCGACCAGCTGGTGGACAGAGAGGGTGGCATTGTATGGCTCCACCACTGTGTCTGACACCTGGAGTAGGAGAGAGAAAAGAAAGAGGAAACAAAGGGAGGAGGGAACAGCTTTAGAGCGCCCAAGAGACAGATGGATGGACAAACATTTAATGTAATAACATTTTAATAACAGAGTTTGCGTACCTTGGGTGAGGGCACCACGCTGAAGGTGTTCATGATGCGGTCTGGATATTCCTCTCGGATTTTGCTGATGAGCAGTGTGCCCATGCCGGAGCCAGTGCCTCCCCCCAGGGAGTGTGTGAGCTGGAAGCCCTGGAGACAGTCGCAGCTCTCTGCCTCCTTCCTCACCACATCCAGGACAGAGTCCACCAGTTCAGCTCCCTCAGTGTAGTGCCCTTTAGCCCAGTTATTACCTGCTCCGCTCTGGCCTGTGTTACATGCAAATACAGAAATCATTCACAGCGATGGTGTCAAAATCTTTCAGATTTTATCTTCTTATCCCAGATCTCTTTGAAATATGATTCTATCATATTTGCAGATGAGACAATTTACAATTCAATAGGTAATGCATACACTGAATATTACTCTTGCAACCATGATCCTATGGAAAACCACCAATTTCCAGCTTTAAAATAAGAACTTAATCATGGTTTGGCAAATTTATCAGCCCGTATTAAAATAAAGAAGAATATTCACATTTAATTTCTCACCAAAGACAAAGTTGTCTGGTCTAAAGATCTGGCCAAACGGACCAGACCTCACAGAGTCCATTGTGCCAGGCTCCAGGTCCACCAACACAGCACGGGGGACATACTTGCCACCTGGTGATGAGCACACGGTTACAAGATTATTATTAAATTCAACTAATATTTCATATTGGGCTGCAAATCAAGTGACAAACTAATACACCCAAAAATCCACTGCTAAAGTGGTTTACGAACTGTTTCTACTATCATTTTATTTGCTGATAACACAACTCATCTCGTTTTTAGTTTGTCGCTCACAACGTTCCAATAAAATACTGTTAAAGCTGTGGCTGTGATATTTGTGTGTGATACTATGTTAGCTGGGGATTTGTTGATGTGTCGTATCATGGAAACACCGTAACCATGGAAGGAGAGAAGGGCCCACTGGACCCAGGGCTTATTTCTAATGGCTCCTAGGACAATGAGCCCCTGCTGGGTAGCTACGGTACTAACAACACAACCGTGTAGTGCTGAATTTCTCCCGTTTTCTTAGTAATTAGAATATCTAACTTCTTAGCTCAGGAATATTAGCAAGGTGAAGTTAACCTGTTGCCTCGTTGTAGTACACGTTGATTCGCTCCAGCTGCAGGTCGCTGTCCCCATGGTATGTCCCGGACGGGTCGATGCCGTGTTCGTCACTTATCACCTCCCAGAACTCAAATCGGAAAGAGAGAATGAGGTTACAGGGTAACGGTTAAACTGACCGACTAGTAGCATAACCTACCCTCACGAGTCAAACCCAACTGTTGTATGGACACCAAGGTTAATATAGCAACCCGCCCAAACCAAAACTAACATTAACGTTCCTTTTCAGTGAATTCAAACCGCACTTTAAAACCAAAGACTTTCTAACCTTAGCTCCGATCTGGTTTCCACACTGGCCTGCCTGTAGGTGTACAATTTCTCTCATTTTTGTCTAAAGCTAAAACTTTTCAGCAACGTCTGAAAAACAAAGTAGCTCAGGTCCTGGCACGCCAACAACGGAATAACCCCAGACGTTAGGGGCGTCGCCAACTCCAGTTGACGGTCAACTCAATTGGTACAACTCAATATCAGTCAAAACGCACAAGACATTTGATTGGCTGACCAAACTTGGTTTAGAGTTCTGATTTGCTAATGTCCTGGAGGCTCCATTGGCATGGTAACACAAATTAGAATCTAAAAACACAGCAGCGTTTCTGCAGAAACAGAGTTTTGTGCTCATTCATACAGTATCTGTTCGTGCGCAACATTGACACTGAAGTGATAGACGATGGTTATGATGGTAAAAATAATCCTAACCATGGCACTTTTTCACACAAAACACGTGTTCCTTGTAGGCTTTTACAACTTAGCCAAGAAACAAATTTAAAACCTTACTTTCCACACCACCTTGTTATGTAAAATAGTAAGCTTTCAAACAGAATGCATAATACCTTACATATTTTTTAACTATAGAGCCTATAAGGAAAATTTAGTGTGACTTTTGTTCAGCAACAAATGGTCTAACTAATCCCACACTTTATAAAATACTCAACTTGCCTGATGTACAAGGGTATTTTTCTTTGGCCTATAGGCCTACATATACAGTGGGTATGGAAAGTATTCAGACCCCCTTAAATTTTTCACTCTTTGTTATATTGCAGCCATATGCTAAAATCATTTAAGTTCATTTTTTTCCTCATTAATGTACACACAGCACCCCATATTGACAGAAAAACACAGAATTTTTGACATTTTTTCAGATTTATTAAAGAAGAAAAACTGAAATATCACATGGTCATAAGTATTCAGACCCTTTGCTGTGACACTCATATATTTAACTTAGGTGCTGTCCATTTCTTCTGATCATCCCTGAGATGGTTCTACACCTTCATTTGAGTCCAGCTGTGTTTGATTATACTGATTGGATGTGATTAGGAAAGCCACACACCTGCCCATATAAGACCCTACAGCTCACAGTGCATGTCAGAGCAAATGAGAATCATGAGGTCAAAGGAACTGCCTGAAGAGCTCAGACAGAATTGTGGCAAGGCACAGATCTGGCCAAGGTTACAAAAAAAAATT